GTGAGGTGGTGCAGGCTCCCACCCTGGGGGTTTTTAAGAGGAGGTTGGATGACCACCTTACTGTGGTCATTTGACCCCAGTGCTCTTCCTGCCATGGCAGGGGGTCGGACTAGATGATCTGCTCAGGTCCCTGTCGACCCTAGAAACTATGAAACTATGAATTTTTTTGAGGGTTCTAGACACAGAAAAAACTAGAACTCTCGGTTCCAAAATGATATCTTTTATTAGACCAACTGGAAAATGCCAAGACAACTGTCCTTTTCTGCAAGCTTTCAGGATCAAAGTCCCTTCATCAGGCTCTGGGAAAAGTGTAGATGGTACAAGATGGTAAAAAGTCCCCATAGGTAGGAAATAAACTTCATTTTTGCACAGAGGGAGCTGAAGATGGAAGGCTGTCCCTTTGAGGGTTCTACACAGTAGTGCAAACAATAGGTGTGCAGCTATGACTGACACAGAATTTTGGCATATGGACCACAAAAACTCTATACGAAAAAGACAAGTCAGACCAATTTGCCCAAATACCTTGCTTCCTACCAGTAACATGAATTTGAGAGTTTTATCCAGTCCTATTTAAATGACTGTGGTCCTAGGCTGAAAATCTGCTCACATTGCAGTCAATGGGACTTCTGCTTTTGACTTCAAAGAAGTCACAACATGCACCTGCTCAGTTTTACTTATATGAGTAGTCCTCCAGGCATGGGTGACTAGTGTCGCCTTAGTCAGGGGGGGCACGTGCCTCCCCAGCAACCAGTCAGTGACCGGGGGGGGAGGGGGAAGGATCCAATCTTCCTGGCAGCAAATCTTGCCAACCAGGAAGTGGCTACGGCACTCTCAGAAGTGGCCGCACCGCTTCATCTGGCACTCCCACTCCCCGGCCAGTGCTCGCAGGGGGGGCACTGGTGCTCACGCCTGCCCTCCCTGCCCATCACCTAAGCAGGGAGCACGGCCTGTCAGGGGGTGCAACAGCACTCTCAGAGGGTGCACATGCATCCCCGTACACCCTCTATGCATCGCCACTGCCTCCAGGTCTACTGAGTCAACAGAGCTTACTCAGGTAAGAAAAATGTTGAATACAGGGGACACTCAGGAAAGTTAAGTCAAATTAAATTACTGTATATTTAATGTGTATTAGTTAAAGATCATTAAACTCTTTCAGAAGTGGTTTTAACTTAATTCAAAAAACAAATTATCAGGACATTTCACAAAATGAACTAAAGCCAGTATACTTCTGAATGATATTGTTCAGGCATCAGTTAATGTGTTTTAACTAGTGTACTTTATGCTCCCTCCTTCATTTGGCTAAACTTTCCTGAATGTCCCAATGTAGACATGGTCTTGGAAAACCTCTTACATATATTTGTTCAATGTTTTCCCATTTTTCTTTGTCCTATACAGCAGGAATAGTCTGACTCTTGTATCATCTACCAGCTATTTAAAACTTGTATCCCCTGAGCTGGCATCAGGAAAATTTTCTCAGCTTTTATAGTATCTAAATAAATTCAATACATTTATACCTAATCTGACAGAAAATCATTTATTTAAAAGCAATATATGGTACCTATTTTTATAGGTCAGTATGATGTCACAGTAGAAGTGAATATAGAAAATACTAAAATATTATTTGCTAATTTATTAATCTGATTTCCTTGAATGGATACATTTTCAAAAATCTTTAACAGGAAGTAGGAAGTGGGATTATTGTGATCTCCTTTGGGGTGTTTCAGAACAGATAGCTTGGCAAAGTATGACATGCTAGGTCACAGTACTTGTTACCATTTTAATATCCCAATAATTTAATGGTCCGTTTGTCTTAATTCTCTTCCAATTTCAAAATAGCTAGTCAAATACATGCTTTCTAAAGAGAACAAACTACTGTCAAAGTGGATTTTTGATTAATCAACCTTGCTCCTTTTTCATTTTCTTCTCTTGCAGAATATCTGTATGTTAAAAAGGTGTGTATAATATGTGTGTGTGTGTGTGTGTGTATGTATACACACACACACACACACACACACACAACACTATGAGAAGTATAGACAATTTACACACAACCTCAGTTTAACAAGTAATTTACTCTATAAAGTGAGCAGGTAATAATTATACTTTAGTATTCCATAGAAAGCTTCCTTGGGAACGTCCCAATGAGTGCACATATGCAGGGGCACATTTCCTGTGAGACAAATAGCAGTGGCACGTATTTGTGCCACTGCTATATGTCCCCAGGCACACCCCTGCACACATGCTCCAGCATGAGCCAAACTGACCCAGGTTGGGTAGGGGAGGCTGGGGCTACCACCTGTGCTGGTCCCAGAACCATAAGCTGGGATCCTAGGGGCCTCCTGGGGTAGCAGCACCACTGAGCCAGCCACTTGGAGCCTGGCCAGCAGCCACAGCATGGCTTTTTTTTGGTGGCATTTTCTGTTTTGTTACTGGTGACTCCCAGTGTCAAAAAACCCCACTATGCCACAAATTAGCAACACAGCAAATGGGTGCACATGCGCTGTGTGTGGTTTGCACTGCCTCAAACTGCTTTGAGGCTCCGCAAACTGCAAGTATGTGCTCATCAGGATGCACCCCTTGTTTGTATTCACAGATATATCACCTTTTACTTCACGTTCACAAGAAGTTTTTAACTTTCTCTTTACTGCTGTCAGCACTGTCAGTTATAGGAGAGGGTTCATTCTGACTCACCTCATATAATCCACAAATCTGTTACCTAAGTTTCAGTTGCAACGACAAATTATGCCTGAAGTTACAGCAGCAGCGTTAACTGTTTCTGCTGTAACAGGAATTTAAAAAAAATCAGAAAGCAGCATTTTGTTGAAATTAAAAACTATCACAGAAATGTACATACTAGTTTTGATAAGGATGAATATTAGGAAGAGACCTATACATACCCTAGAACAGCAAATGGTATGGCAGGTAGGGCACTCGCTTGTGATGTGGGAAGCCAAACTTCAATTTTGGATTTGAACTGCATTGTCTCACACTCCAGGGCGTGCCCTGGAGCTGGCTATTCTGGCTAAAGAACTGGCTATTCTTCCAGAGTGCTCTCTCAGTCACTACTGTGATAAGCTGTTCCACTTGATAAATAATTAATTCCTCATTGGAAAAGAATATTCTGCATCCCAGATAAGTGTGACAAATCTCATTTTTCTCTTTCGTCCTTTGCAATCCTATGGACTATTAGGCAAAATATGTATATATATTGTTCTTGAAAATGAAACAAGTGTACTACCACTGATGCTTAATAAATAAAGAAGTCCAAAATGTCTTTAATTCCTCAGAGCTATTTTTCAGAGTAGAGTTACATTTTCAATTGATGATTTATTTATTATTATTCTGTTACCAAATTATATTTGGCATCCATATTTTCTTTTACCTAGTTGTGTTTTCTCCTTAATTTTTCTATATCATTAAAAAATGGATTATGTTAAATGGTGCTTTAGTGAATACAAGACCTCATCCCCTTCCTATTAAATATTTAAAAGTATTTTTGCATATAACATGTGAACAAGGTTTGTGAAATCATTATGATGTGAATTATGGCCATGCAACATTCCTATACTGAGGTATAATCTGGTCGACCGGATGGTATGGCAAATCATCCTGACACGTTTATATTAATATGGGTATGTAAATGAGAATAAGAAAGAAATGGTCAAATTTATGTTAAAGACTTCTAAAGGCTTAACAGCATCTTACTAAGTATATGTGTCAGCTTAATCTAATCCTCCTACTTCTAACACGTTCTGTGGTCTCAGCACGGTGCCTATAATGCTCTCGTGTGTTATGAGGGATTGCATCTGAGAAGTTCGCCATCAGGACTACACTTTGTTCAATAAAACTTTATATCTAGTCTTAGGCTGACAGAAAGCTATCTATCTCAAATTTGCATCACAAACTTTTAGCTGCTTCTGACATCAATAACACTGGCTATAATACCTCCCAGTAATCTGTTACAACTCACAGAGTGCACATATTCTCAGTTCTCATCTTACTTTGTCAGCTGCAAACAGGCTGCTCTAATTTGTGCAGGCTGGTTCATCTGAACACTGAACTTCTTTGTGCCAATAAAAAGCACTCTTTTAATCGAAAGCTCATTTGGGCAGATTTGTGGCAGTGTTCCTTCCCCCACTCCAATGATTTCAAGCCCTGCTTAACTGAAGCATCTTTGTGTCTCCTTCATGCTTGGTAAAAGGGACAATGCACAGCCATTCTAAGCTCATCAGTAAGTCCACCATGGCCAGCTATGGATCTAACCACAATTACAGACCAATAAGGTATGGTTATTTGTTTCCTGTTGAGTACTACCTTTCTTTCCAAACATGAGCAATGGAAGTTCATTAACACAACAGTGTTCAATTAAAATAAAATGGTTACTTACTCTACTACCTTACAATAATTGTGGTTATTTCAGACATAGCCTTCAGTGTTTTTTCCACTATAAAGTATGTTAGACTAAAAAGATTTGAATCACAATAACTGTGCTTCAGTATGGAGAATGATCACCGCTCTTCTTTTGCAGTCTCTCAGTTTGAAGTCCACCATAGCAGAAGAGTCCCAAAAATGGCAGGGTTCTACTTGTGCAACACACATTGACTACAGAAAGATTCAAGAACCTCAGTTACTGTATTGCTGCTGCTTCATCAAGTGTGGGTCAGTCAGGGAGGATAAGGGGAGAGTGACCTCCTTCTCTCCCTTCAGTACCAAGGGCTCTTTGATGTCTGACACAATTGTCCATAATAACCTCAGCTGGGCCATGGTTGTAAACTGCACTAAAATACATTGCTTCATGGGTATTTCCCATTCTGGTGCCAGCTTGATGTGTTAGTGACAGCTGAGCTTTGCAGGTGAATGAAGGTCTGTATGGGGCAGGTCCTGTACAGAAATCATGTTTTGAGGGATGGCTGAGTGGTGCTGATGTCAGAGGGCTGGCCACTGACATTCAGTTTA